ACACACATGAGAACTATGTACCATGTAGACAAGGTTGTGGAAAGGGTCAGGAAAGAATTCTCAATCGTTGGCACATAGATGCAATTACTGAGCACTGACCCAAGTGATAATGAACAATCAAAGAGAATATCGTTCTTGCCAGAAAGGAAACAGGTTGAAATGAACACCGGTATAGGTGTGGCACCACTAGGTATTATTAGTTATATAAGACCACCCCTTCTATTTTCAAGTTTTTAGATCTTGATGAACTGGATCAAATGGATTTTCGGATCGCCTAATTCAATAGCTCAAAAATAGGTGATTCAACGCAATGGGCGAGAAGGCTGACATGAAGCATGAATATAGTTAATTATGTTGGTTGATTATTAGTTTACCACAAATATATTTTAAGTATCAAATTAATTGTATTTGTACATATACACCCAAACTTATAACCATTATAGATGTAAAGAAGTACATCAAATACAGATGCCAAACCCTCAATATTCTCCGTTCTGTGTAAAAATATATCGAGGAGAAATTGAGTGTTTTTCTTGTGGGACCTCCCACGAAATCTTATGAAATATACTAATATTTATTAAACTAATTGTCTATAATTCCTCCAACCAAATTCATATACCATGAACTGTCACTGCCTTATTGCCTAATGCATAACATTAATGGTCACTATATAACCATATTAATACAACCTTGTTAAGATATTCGTTGTTTCACATGAAAATCATATTACGTGAATGAAAAATGGCTATACGTACATAAACCCTAATGAATATGAAAGGAAACATATGATAGAGAAGCTAATGTATCAAACAAATGGATTATCTAGGTCATTGAATCATATTTTGTTATCAATGAATAATTTTGGGATAATGACGCATATATGTTTCAGTATGACCATGTGGGACACCATGGTCATAATGATCCGTTTGTTAAAAATACACATAAATGCATCTTCTTTTGAGTGAAAGGCTAGAGACAATTATCTAAATTGCAATTGTTGACTTTATAGCACAAGAGGCAACACCACTATCATAATATACCCTTCCAAATACTTACTCCTTAGCCAAGACGGGAATGAGACCATCCTCAAGGTAAAGACATAATACAAAAAAAAAAAAAAAAAATTCCATTCGTACAACGATTACAAGGTGATAATTGCGGATCTATACATCTAGAATGTGGACTGTTCAAGTACTTTATGGTTCTGGTAGATACTTGACATGATGGATGCATGTCACATTATTGTCCACATTAAATGTTATATTCCAACACCCTTAGCACAATTTTATGTTTTAAGGGCTCACCAACCTGATTATCTCATTAAGTCTATATGACTTGGTAATTAATGCTGGAAAATTATATAAGAATTTGATGATTACTACATATGTATTGAGATCGATCTAGAACATCTTATACCCTCATAAGAATGGTCTCGCAGTTGTCATCAAAAGAATATAGATGTGAGCTAGTGCATTGGTTATGCACACCAGTTTACCCACACTTGCTTGGGGTTATGCAATATTACATGCAACTTTACTTATTCATTTTAGACTCACTACTATCCAACCAGTTTCATACATACCAGATGGTAATTGGATATAAGCTTGATATTTTACATTTACGAATGTCTGGTTTTCGACGCACCAAAATGGGCCCTCAAAGATGATTAAGTATATTTTGGATATGAATCTCCAATAGTTATCCGCTATTTTAAACACCTGACAAGTCATCTTATATCACATGATTTGCGGATTGTCACTTTGATGACAATCTCCCGTTGTTAGGGGGAGATAGGAAAAGTATTTTCTAAAGAACGATGAGAACTATCATGGACTGTCCCATCCATTTTGAACTCTAAACTTTACAATATAAAGTTGAAGTGAAACGAGTCATACTTAATACCTGATATGTTTAATTATTATAAAAGTGAAAAGATCATACTTACAAGTTGCAAATATATCCGTAAGGTCAGAAGTCCCCAACAAGGGCATAATACCGCTGGAAATCGTGTTCCAATCACACATAGTAGATGTGTGGTTGAGGTCGTAGCTACCAAACGAAAATGGTGGAAGCTACTTGGTTCGATAGATACTCCTCTAAAGGAAGAGAAGAAGAATGAACAACCATTTATCATCAATACATAAAAACTTCTCATGAGATTCTTTCTGTATAAAACCATGTCCATGAATCTTTATTAAAGGACGCTCCGAAGTTAATATTGATTCCAGAGAAAAAAGAAATCTCAAATGGACTATGAGAGTACATAAGTCGATGGACAGATCATAAATACCCATTGATGATAAAATTACATATACTATTGCTCATAATATGATAGAGCACGACGACATCGAACCACCTCAGTTGAAAAACGTCAACAAATTGGTCTAAATGAAAAGAAAAATCCAGATAGAATAGTTTACTTTGACAAAGGAGCATGTGTTTGGTCCGGTGGTGCTAACCCACCAAAGGTAAACCTCGTTAGACATAAATAAGTCTTTGTCAAAAAGCATATTGAGAATAATGAAGTCCCGATGCATAAGGTTATCTTTTTGGCACAAGGTTTCTCACAACGCCCTGGATTGATAACGATGAGACTTACTCTTCCATGATGGACGTTATAATGTCCCACTAAAATAGTTTCCAAAAGACTGGAAATGTAGCACATGAATGTGGTTACTAGTTACTACATAACTCTATAGGGATCTAGATTTAGATATATACACGAAAGTGCCTAACATTATCCAAGTCAAAGAACTCTAAACCAAGGACTATGTTTGCAAATAAAATGAAACACTCACTTTATGATTAAAGCAATCCAGAAGGATATAGCATTCTTGCCTAAGGTGAATACATGATTTGGGAATGTATACAAGAACGACGAATTATGCCCTTGCGTATTTAAAAAGAAAAGAAGTTCCATATTTTCAAATTTAACTTTATATGTCGATGATATGAACATAATAGACACTTTCGATTGAAATCCAAATTTGAGATGAGAGATCTTGGGAAAACTCGGTTTTGTCTACTAGTTATATGAATTAGGACATCGAGTTTGTGGAATATTGATCCCCCGATCCATATATGTCCAAATGAGAAGGCAATCTACTACAGACAAAGCAAATTCAACTACCACTCCCATGATTGGTTGAAACGTTGGAAGTAAGGAAAGATTCATTTCGTCTAAAGGACAATGACTAAGAGGTGTTGGGAGCTGGAAATCCCTATCCAAGTACAATAGACGCATTATTGTACTTAGCACAATGCACTCGACCATATATTGCATTTCTCAGTGAACTTGTTTGCTAGATTTAGCTCAGCCCCAACGCAACGTCATTGAAACAATATTGATAATATCTTTACTTATAGAAAATTACATATTATTAGGTTTAAGTCTAGTTTTTTAATATCATATTACAATATTCTTGTTCAATTGCATGTTATAAATATTATTTGTTTAAAAAAAACATATTTGGGCTTAAAATAACGACAAATTATAAAAGAGGGTTTTAAAATATTTCAAATAGATGAGGATAATTTATGTATGTTCATAAAAAATGAACTAAAAATACATTTTTTTTAAAAGACTTGATCTATAGAATAAGGGGCCGTTTACCTAAATGTTTACCCGGTAATTGCTTACCGATAGGATTCAACATTATAATTTATTTTGATATGCAAGATTTTAGTACATAAAAACGTATCGAATGCAACAAGTTACTGGGTAAGTGCTTACCTGGGTAAGTACTTACCTGGGTAAGTACATAAGGGTGATGTTTGATTGATTTGAGCTTGGATTCCAAAGACCAAAAAATATCTGGAGGTCACAGGTTTAAATCCAATGAGGAATAAAAATCACCTTGGGCCATGGAGGTTCAAATGCGATGATTCCGAACTACCCGCAAAACAGGTTATCGTCCTGCGACATAGTAGATTGGATATCCAAGTTAATTAAAAAATAATAGATATAATATATATTTTTTATGAAATAAAATATTAGAGTAAGAATAATGTATTTTTGTGAGAATCAAATATGTTTGAATATATAGTACAAGTTGATTGGTGCAACTTTTGATGTATGAATTTGATCCAAGAAAGAAAGACACGGTAGCAGTAGTTGTCTTGTCGGGTCGGGTCTTGTGACCATCAAAAGTGGTCCTCCATATAACCAAGAAAAACATTGGTGTGTTGAAAAGAAAAAGGGAAAGAACAAAAAACCAAAGTGGGCACTTCAAAATCTCCCTTTTATTTAAATTACCTACTTCCCTCCAAATTAATGTATTTTTGAATTAAAATATATCAAATTTTATACATTTTTTATTATTATTTTATACTTATTTTGATCAAGGGCCATAGCGGCACGGGCGCATGCTTAGGGCTCAAAAATATCAAAGACCCAAAATTTTCTTTTAAAATACAATAATAGTCTACAACGATTTAATAAATTAACGAAACCCAGAAAATTGTAGCATATAATAAGAGGCAAAAATAATTTAGTAGATAATAATGACCCAAAAGTATATCAACTAATTACATTGAAAAAGAAAATAATTTTTTTCTTTCCTCAGTAAATTATTAGCATTTATTGTACTCGATTTTATACTAATGAAAAACATTTATTGAATTTTATTTTCGTACTTAACGAGGGTCACTACAAGAAAAATGAGTTTTGATGATGCGCTTTTTAGGATGACCTGTTTCTGCCACAAGTTTTAGCGATGACAAAAGTCGTTGCCATGTTTCTTGCAGTGAGTCATGTGTTTATGTTCGTTTGAGGATCTATAAAATGTCAGAAACGGGTCTGCTTGGATCTATCATAAGTATTAATGATGACATTAATATAACAAGTTGATAGAATGATATTCATTTACAATAAAGAAGGCCATGATCATAATAATCAAGATTCCTTGTTAGAAAGATAAGATTGAAGGGCAATTTGGTACTCATGTTTGCCTTATAAATATCACTTGAAATGAAAACCCCAAAATGCATCTCCCCCAAAAATGGCAACTACTCCATCTTCATCTCCTCATAATTTTGCCATTAGAGCACCACCACCACCACCACCATCTCCATCATCATCTTCTTCCTTAGCCACTTGTGTAAAATTCAAAACCCTAATCCACAACTTCATCTTCTCCCATCTCTACCGTCTAGTTCGAGCTCTCACCAAGGCGAAAACCCTCATTCTCGAGCTTCTCAAACAGATCCATCGTCTCCACAATATCCATTTTCTGGAACCCATCATCTTGAAGAAGAACAGAAACAAACACAACAAGATCTGTTTTGGATCGTTTAGATTGCACTATAACTGGTGTTCATCATCTCATGTTGTACCAATGGCCATGACGTCTTCACCCAACTCGTTTAATGGGGTGTACTACGATTCCACCTGGAATGCTTTCGTGGATGAAATGGCACCAGAATCTCAGCTTTCTGGGTACCTTCAATGGCTTGAAGAGAAGAACAAGGGTTCTAACAATGGAAGCAATGCAGGTTCCAGGAGTATTACTGTCGATGAGATGAACGAGATCGATCGTCTTGCTGATAAGTTTATAGCGAATTGCCATGAAAAATTCAGATTGGAAAAGCAAGAATCTTATAGAAGATTTCAAGAAATGATGGCCAGAAGTATGTGAAATCTAAAGGTGTTCTTCTTGATCACTTTATAAAGGGGGTGGGGTGGTATAGTTAACACAATGAGTGCATGGTCAAAAATGGTGATGGGGGTGGGGTGGGGTGGGGTGGGGTGGGGTGCGGGAGAGGGTCTTCTAAGATGAGCTTCAAGATCGAATTTTGAGAGAGGATTGTTAGAAGAGGGGGTTGTCTGTAATTGTTCAATTCTTGTGTTTATAATGGAAGATCTTTAGGAATTATGTTTCAATTAGACCCCTTGAACTTAATATATTCACATTTCCATCCAACTTTTTTCTTTCCCTTAAATTAGCAGTCATTGTAGCCTTGCTCAATCACTAGATTTTTTTTTTGAAGTATATAATATTTATATGCGACAAATACAATAAATAAACTCATACCCTTTTTATTTTTAGTGAGGTTTGAATCTTCGACCTCCTACGAGACCAAAAACTATAATACCACTAGGCCAAATTTCATTTGATCTCAATCACTAGATTTTCATTCACAAATTTATTTTTGTTTTTTTACATAAAAAGGTATGATGCATGATTACTTTTCACACTGTATAAACATTACTTCCCCCATTACAGAATAAATATTTATACCGAAAATTAAAAGATATATAATTTTAAAAAATGAATGGTAATTATATTTTTTAATTAAATAAAAACAATTTTATCTTTAGTAATACAGATCTTCATCTCATGATTACAAATATAATAAGAAAGTAGACGCTCTTTTAAAAACAGATATATGTTTTTAAACAAAAATATATATATTTATTTTGTGACGAAAGAAATACGATGTAAACAAATAAAATCATGACCAATAAACAAAAAGTTGAAGGAATCTAAATATTGGGAATTGTATATTTATTTATTGAACCATAGGGTTTTTTTTTTGGATCTTTCCTCTTCCCATTATATATTTGAGTTCCATGGTATAAAGGTGATATCCTTCTTAAATGATCAGAAGTATATGATGGTTTCAGGTTAAAATTTAGGAGGAATAAAAATCTTCTTGTAGTCACGAAGGTTTAAATACAGTGACTTTAGGTTATCTGCAAAACAAGTGATCTTCTTGAGATTAATCGGTTCATATAACAAGTTGAATATTCAAGTTAATAAAAAAAAGGGTGATTGTGTTGATGATTTAGGTTAATCCCTAATTCCATGCATGCCACTAAAAAGAATCATTATGGTCATCGCTCTTCAACGTTAAATCTATTTGTAAGATAATATTTTAAACTGATTTAAGTTTAAGTTTGGAAAATTATCGGTAAGTTAGTTGTTAACTTATAAGATAGTTGGAGGCTAGTAAACTAATTGACCAACTAATAATATTGGAGAAAAATAGTTGATAAAGTAGTTTAAAAATATAAAATTATCTAAAATAACATGTCAAAAAATTAGTAATTTCTAATATTATATAATAGAATAAACTCTAAATTTGTTCCTTGAGGTTTAGTGAAAGTTTGAGACTAGGACTTGAGCTTTGATAAGTTTAGATGGTTTACATTTTACATTTTGTTTTGAAAATGGTTATTAATCACTAATTCCGTTACATAAGGGATATCTTTGTTTTTACCTGTTATTTAATTTTCTTATAAGAATTTAAATATATATAATGTTAGATATGTATTTCAAAAAGTGTAAGTAAAAGATCTCTTGCTCTAGTCAAGAGGGCTTGGTCTAGGAAGCAGACTGGAATAAGAGCTCGGATGCAGAGATTGCTCAGACACGGAGATACTCGGACACAAAGGTGTTCCTCGCATGCAAAGCTCGTTGCCAAATGAAGGAAGATCAAAATTTAGCGTCAAAAGCATAAGGACTTGATGCAGAACTCCATTCCAGACACATAACGTATGCACTATACATGCAGAGCCTCTGGGTCTTGTTCCTTTAACTTGCACACAAAGTTTCCACGACGTATATCATAAATGCTCCCATCAATGGCCAACACATGTACTGAAACATTACTTCTTTCAAGGAATCGTGGAGGCAAACGATTGACGGATGCATTGACAATTAATATATCCTAAATTATAGAAGATTCCTTTTTAGGAATTACCTATAAAAGAATATTTCCTCCATGGAAATCGGCCCCTGATAATTGCCATATTTGAAGACGCTTATTCTTACAAGAGAGAAAATTGCTTAGCACTTGTGAAATTAGAGCTAGATTGAGAGTTTTTCTTTACACACACTTAAGCGTGTTCTTGGTGTTCTTGTAACTCTCTTTAGCTATTCAATGCAGCCGTCTTGCTCAATACCTTATTCATATTTGTGTGTTGTTCATTTCTGCATAATCATCTAATATCATAGTTATTGCTTTTGCTTATTCATTGACTTAAGTGTGATTATTAGTACATTAGAGGATCTGGGTTCCTACAATTTCCATCCAGAGGAAATTTTCAAATTACTTGTGAATGCTCCTCATCTATGCAAAAGGAGGAAGAAGGCTTTGATATCTATCCATGGGAATCTCAAGATTTAAACAAATTGTAAGATCTCTATGATGAAATTTTTTTCAATCAAAATTCAGAGGAGATTCTTCAATATCTAAAATTACCACAAGAGCTCAATGAAAACTCCAACATTCTAAGTCCTAAACGAGATTTTCTTGACTCGGACTCTGAGCCAGAGGATGACTTGAATACAGAGCATCTTGAGACAAAGATAGTGGTGCTAGGATCAGAAGTTGACAAACTTCCAAATGGGATCCCTCTTAAATTTGTTCCAGCAATGGAGCAGAGAAAAGAAGGTTCACATGTGTCCTGATTTCATGGATATGCGTTTAAAAGCCAAATCTTGCCTTGAGCTAGAGAAGGAAAAGAAAGCTAAAGAGCTAAAGTCCGAAACCTCTGTATCCAAACCTCCAAAGTCAATCTTTCAAAAGCCTGTTATGTTTACTCGCGAATAGAAAGGAAAATGGGCTGCTAATTCTAAATCTAATCTCTCTGGTGTCTTAAAGGCAATATTTCTAATTTTAAAACAAATGACTCCCTATCCATTTCTCATATAAAGAAACGTTGTGATTGCCTGTTTTACGGTTCATAATTTTATAAGAAAATGCAATATCCACGATCAGTTGTTCATGGATTACAACAATGACCCCACGATCATTGTCGAGGGACAAGAAGAAATTGAGGGAGGCGATGAAGATGACATGGATGGAAGGCCTTTTGATACTCAAAACAATGAAAACATGGCTAATTTACGTGACCAGATTGTGAATCAGTTAATATTAAATGCGTCAAATTAAGAATTGTTCAAAAACTATTATGTTGATTGTTATGTTTTTTTTTATTTTTGAATTTGAAAAAGTAATGTTATGTTGGTTTGGATTAATATGAGATCTTGTTTTGAACTAGTAATGTTATGTTTGTTTGGGTTAATATGAAATATGTAGTTATATTTGCAAAGTAATTGTTTTATTCAGATATCTACCAAACAACTATATTTCATTCGATACTAAATCATACAGAGGGTTAAAATGGTAACTTGTTATCATTCAAATAACAGTTACCAAACAACCAAATTTCATTGAGTACTTAACCATTCTGTCCCTCTTAATCATTCTGATCATTTAACTATTCTGCATCAAACCATTTAGCAACTGCCAAACATATAGGTATATGCTTCGACAAAGACTTATTGTCCATAATTACATAACATTTGTAGAAATAGAGTTGATGGATTTCTTGATCTCCATTGATGTTGAACATGTTAACTCAATTAATGACACTGAATAGAGTACCTTTTTTGGGCTTTACTTTTTTTTTTTTTATGGTCTACTGGATTTTGGTTAGAGTGCACTAGGAATTATTTATTGGTGTTTTAGTATTTGATTATAATGCACTTTGATTGATTCTTAACTGGTATTTAAGCTCTATAAACTGGGAAATTATTGATGTATCTGTTGCTTTATTATTCTTAGTTTTTTTTCTTTGTATCAAGTCCTAACTATATTTAGAGTCTGTTTATCTATACGCTTACTGGTAAAAGTCAATACTTTAATTTACTTCATCGGATAAGATTATAGAACATCAAAACGGTATCGTAAGCGACAATTTACTAGTAAGTGCTTATCGGGTAAGACTCTCTATTCTTATCATCGTTTTTAATGAGTAAGATTTCCGATTCTTGTCATGTTGATCCAGTAAAATACATAATCTAAAACCATGCTATTGGAACTTTTCACTTTCTTACATGATCCCTAAAACTCATTGTATATAAATGAACATTGAAATTTTAAACCAAGGTAAAAAAAATTTAAACTGAGGGACCAAAATGGAGCAATAATATTCGATCAGGGACTAATTGTGCAATTAACCCCTTGAATCAAATTGCAACTTCCAGATCTATCACACACTCGTAGTCACACACAGTGTAGCGGGTGCGCAAAATGACGACGAGAGAATCGGCGATGGTGGAATCTGGCAACGGCATCAACCTCGACGTTCGGATCTACAAACCAGCACCAGAAGACGATGATTCCACTTCAGATGACCAAAAAATTGTGGTCGTTTTGGTCCACCCTTATTCAGTATTAGGCGGCTGTCAAGGCCTTATGAAGGGCATTGCTCGTAATCTAGCTGATCAGGGCATCGCCGCCGTCACCTTCGATATGAGAGGCGTCGGTAAATCCACCGGCAGACCTTCCCTCACCGGATTCTCTGAAGTCTCCGACGTAGTCGCGATCTGCAAGTGGACTTCTCAGAACTTGTCCTCAAATCGGATTCTACTCGTCGGTTCCTCTGCAGGTACACGAATTTCCGATTAATTCCTCAATCATTTTGCTTGTATAATGATTTCTGCTAATTAAATTTGTATTTAGAACAATTATCATGATGATTTTAGTTGTTTTTCATCACTTTGATCGTTGATATCAAATCTAGGGTTTTCCGAATCCAACATGGAAATAGGTTTTGGCTCTGTAGCTGTTCATAGATTTTGATGTACTTGGGTTTAGTAGGAGGCTTTATTCCAAAAAGTGTTCTAAAAACTTGTTAAAGACCCCAAAAAAAACATTATACAGACTAATTACAAAACTTATACACATGACATAGTTGTTTGGTCCTATAAACCTAAGTCCTATAATAGACATTTTTGGCGTCCTACAAATTCGATCGTGTTGTTACCTCACTTTCCTAATGGAGATTCATTGATTGATTCAAGAACAGGAGCGCCGATTGCAGGATCTGCGGTTGATCAGGTAGACGAAGTTATCGGGTACGTGAGCCTGGGCTACCCTTTTGGGTTGACTGCTTCCATTCTTTTCGGAAGACACCACAAGGCCATATTACAATCTCTTAAGCCGAAACTATTCGTGATGGGAACCAAAGATGGGTTTACGAGCGTCAAACAGTTGGCCAACAAAATAAAAAGTGCAGCAGGTCGTGCCGAAACTCATCTCATGGAAGGAGTTAGTCATTTCCAAATGGAAGGTCCGAGTTATGATGCCGATATGGCAAATCTTATTGTCACTTTCATTTCCTCATTGTAATATCTTCCTCCTTGTAATATACCTATATGATCTTTGGGGTGAAGTATCGTGTGAGAAGGGAAGTTATGATGAGAAACGTAAGAAGAGATCTGAACCCTTGATCACTTTTAATCTCATGTTCACCCATGGATTACATTTTAAAAGGGAATTGATCCAACGCATTTCAGTGCACCTTATTAATGTCGACATTCAATTAAGATTGATTCAAGAGTGGAGATCTCTTCTCACGGTTCCCACCATAACTTCCCTTCTTACCGGAACTCAACCCTGATCTGGGGTAAGAGATTTGGGTTGGTTTACCTTTTCCAATCTTAACATGTATGTTATTGTTTCTATAGGGGTGACATGTTTGTTTGTTGTTTATATTGTTTGTTTGTGCAGACACCCCTATCTATCATATCCTAGTTGCTTGTTTTATCAACAACCTCCTTTCGGCAGAAGGTAAGGTCTATGTGAGATTTTCTTTGGAAGAGTGTCCATATGTCTGGACTAATCCCAACAAATTGTGAGTGCAAGAAATCAGTCCAGATGAACTCAACAGCCACAATTGTTGAGTATGTCTGGAATTGAACCCTGAATAGATGAGATATTTCACTATGCCATAACCCTTGTGGTTATCAATGTCCCTTTTTATAATGCGTCTTTGAATATTGGTTGTTCATCTTATATATACCCTTCCAAGGCTGGCTCTTGTACCCATGGTTTGGCTATGTTGGTATGTGCTGACAATGTGGCTCTGAGAATGATTGTAAAGGAAGAGAGAGTGGTGTGGTCGTTGTGGTGCCAACAAAGAAAGATGAAACGCCTAAGTGGTGCCAATAAAAAGTGCGCAAGACAAAAGTATACTCAGATATTGGTAGTGGATATGGTTTCTAAGTATAAGGATGTGAAGTGACTCCAATCTTGAACTCTCACTCCATGGTTACAAAGAGATTGCATACCACACACCACTTTACTAATGCAATGTCTATTTTTCAAAAGCTGGCACATTTCAGCGTCTTATGCTTCTATCCCAGTTTAGTGAACGTTTTAGAAACAAACTTGCCCACAATTCTTAAAGAAAGCTTTGTCCGGTGAAGGCTTTTATCGGACAAGGTATTGTCCCGATTGAATTTTTAATATTTAAGTGTTGATCGATGAGGATGTTATTGGTCATAGTGTTGACCAGTGAGGATGTTCATCGATCATAGTATTGACTAGTGAGGGTGTTTTATTGCCCAAGTGATAGTCGGTGAGTGTTGTCTGGATTAAATGTTGACCGCTGAGGGCAGTTCTTCGCCCATGTGCTGTCCGATGAAGGGCAGTCACCGGTCAAGTTTTGTCTGATAAGGATTGTTAACGCCCATTATGTGTCTTTCAGAAGTTGTTTTAAATTGAGGAAAGTTCTTGATATAAAGTTTTTGAGATGAAACTATTTTTGAGGCCATTATTGGCTAAAATAGTAGATTTATCTGGATTTTATGAGGAAATAAGAGTGATATATCAAAGAGAGATGTACAATGGGATGAGTGACATATCAAAGAGAGATGTACCAAGAGATAAGAGTGACATATCAATGAGAAGTGTATTTTTGGATAAGGGTGACAATTATGAGATGTGTTACATTTATAACTCTTGTTCTAACATCCATAAGATGCAATAATTAAGAGTTAATATTTCTTTGTGATATGAAGACCTGGAATCATTGCTCTTATTGAAATGATAACAACAATGTTATTGAGAAGGGGAAAATAACTTATAGCCAGAGGCATTAGTTGCCCGTGTTTCGAGTAAACAAATGTTTTTGGGATGTTGGACATTACAATTTGCAATTGTTTAAAAGAGTAAATGTTTGATGAGAACCCAGAGGGGCTTTGATTGGTCTTCAAGACTAACTAGAGGGCCTCTGGTTATGGTGGAAAATCTTTTGTGTTTTTCAAAACTCATTTTGACCTAGAGGTTGTATGTGTTATACAGAGGATCTGTATCATGGGATTTAACAAGTACGAGCTCTCCGAGCCCTGTATTTGAGCTCTGTATCCTAACTCCTGGCTTCACTTTATAAATTTAAACCTTTTTAATTATCCTTTAAAACTATAGTAGAGAACCAGGTTCTGGTAATGTTAAAATCTTGTTTTCTTATCTCTTCTTTTTTATTTTCATAAGACCAGAGGAGCTCTGGTTGGTAAGACCAGAAGAGCTCTGGTTCTTAAGAACCAAATGAGCTCTGAGTAATCCTGCATAAAGTAATGCGAGAACCTGAGTGGTTATATGCCATGTATGGCGATGCAGATTTATAAACTCTTATAGAGTTATGATATTTGAGTTTTGACTTGTAAAAATATGAAATATATTTTTATGTTTGCAAAGGTAATTTTTATAACAGGTTTTGGTGATTTTTCACCATATAATTGCAAAAAAAGAGGATTTCTTACTAGACCTCAAGGTCTAACCATCTTCTTGTGTTTCAAAAATATGCATTATAGGTCAAGCTACGTCCAGGGATAAAGGAAAGGAAAATATGTGAATTATTTTCTTTTTGTGCTTACCTGTTCTATGAAGATCAACATGATATATGATGGATTTTTGGAATACTTGTTATTTATACAAGTGGAATACAAGAATGTTATTTTTGGAACTTTTGAGTTGTGGATTCTGTAATTTAGTTTCTTGTACTATTGGGACCAAAGTTGTGTTATTGTATTTCTTAATATATGAAATACATGATAATATGCAAATGTGGAATGCGGGGTGTTACAATCGAAGCTTGGTATTTAGTTTTATTTTGGTTCTGGTTTATGTTTCGACTAGAAATTTGGTTATTCGACTTCTTATTCTGACTAATCTTCATAGACTTTCGAGTGGGTTTTAGACTTGCACTAGATTTATTCTTAGGAGACAACAATAACTTATTCGTTCTGATCTTGCTTTCATTGCTTTTCCTCTATGCGAAGACTTGTGATTAGACTCTCTAAAGAGAAGTCCTTGGTCTTGTGGCACAATGTGTTTTTCTACTCTTTCCAGGAGGGCAGGAGCTTTATGATAGCCGAGATTTGGAACTGTTCACAAATTACTATTCCTTCTACTAACACTTCATGAGCAATTTTCTGCAACTCTTGAGATTGTGAGACAACAGATTTGTCATCCACCATTTGAAATCTCAAATGGCCGTTGACAACATATTTTTTACTACCAACTTCCCCAATGTCATATTTTTTAGTAAGAGCATCCCAAACTTCCGTAGGAGTTTTAAGTTGAATAATAATCATAAAGTTCATTGGCTAAGGAGTTCAAGATATAGTTCTGACACAAAAAATCATTTTTCTCCTATTTTCTAACGACAGATTCTTGTTCAGCAGTAGCAGGGTTTTCAACAATTGTTTTTTTTTAAGGAAAAACATAATTTTCAAGATCCTTTGTTGTCGAGAAGAACACCCTTGGTTTCCACCTTTTAAAATGTAAACCGTCAAACTTGAAAGGCTTGTTATGATCAATGAAGGTAGTCAGTGTAACACTCCAAGATCACATTTGCATATAACCACATGTTTCATATATCATGAAATACCACTTTACATATTCGGTCCCATTATATACAAAAGCTATGTTACAAAAGTAGCTACTACATTTTTCTACATATTCCAGTACAAAGCTTGTATACATAACAAATATTCCAGGAGAGATGTATTAATTAAGTCATGTTTGACAAACATAAACTATCTTATTTTTTGAGCTTATTATAGAAGTTCTGATTGAACGACAAAAAGTTAGCTTATAAACGAACAAAAAATAGAGTAAGAGCGGATCTCGAGTTCAAACTCATTTAATGAAGGGTTTACCATAAAGCCCTTGATTAAGCTCAGCCATGTGCTTTGGCTTGGACCTATATAGGGAGTCATTATGGTGACACCTACTTTTCCTTGTTGGCTTTTTGGGTCACAGATTTGGACAATTGGGTAAAGCAATTACCTATCTTGCAAACAATTGCTAATCACTTCACATATTCACATGTGCATTTCTTAAATGTATAACCATTTGCCAACCATAAATTCCCATTATTAATGTCAATGCTTTCCCTTTTTACTCATTTTGGTTTGATTTGTTTAAATGATTAAAACCCTAATTACAAACATATATGATTATGAAATTATTGATACCGTTTCAAGTGACATGCCTATTTTTCTGAAACTCGATCAGGGTCAAAAATACGAAACTCGTTCTATATCAAAAATATGAATTTTGCTTAAAATCGAAAGAATACGATGAATGAATATTCTACATCATGAAAAACGGTATACAGTAGAATTGAATGTTCATTTGCTACCTACCTGACATGTCATTTAATAAATAAATGAGTAAATTTTGTTATAAAACATAAATACAAGAGTGGTTAAGTTAAAAGAAATTAAATAAAAGTATAAAGTGATAGTTAAACCAAACACATGTTTTAGCCACTACAAAAAAATCGGATTTATAGGACATTCCCAATATCTAAGCGTCCTAATAGACCCCTTTATAAGACTTATTTTATAGGACCAAAAAAATAAAGCGTCCTATCTAAAGGTGTTGTAATAAGTTTATATTACGTTTTTTGACGTCGCAATAAGGTTTTTAGGACACTTTTAATATAAAGTGTCCCATTAGCAACTTTATAGGACACTATTTGGAAAACTGTCTTATAAAAACAAATGTCCTATAAAAAAATGAGTTTATAGAACACTTTATCAAAAATGTCCTATAAAGTTGCTAATACGAAACTTTGTATTAAAAATATCCTCCAAAACTTGTTAAGGCGTCCAAAAGCGTTATATAAACTTATTACAACACCTTTAGATATGACGCTTTATATTTTGATCCTATAAATTAAGTCTTATAAAGCAGTCTATTAAAACGCTTAGAAATTATGAGTGTATTATGAACCCAATTTTATTGTAGTGAAAACTAAAAATACTAATTTTAAAACCACATGCAATTATTTCCAATTAAATGAAATTTATAGACTTCAACATTATTTGTTTTTATTGATTATTTCATAAATATATCATGTGAGCATGATAAATATTTATGTATAGTAACAAAGATCACAAAATATTTATTTATAATAATGTTTTAAAATATACTAAACACGTTTGTTCTGTAATAACCCGTTAATAAAAAACAATTAAATAATTCTTTATTGATAATTTATAAGAATATACTATAAATCTATATCTATACTACTTTATAAACCAGATTTATCAAAAGTCTTAAAAATAATTTTTAATGTACAAAGTACTATACATTTATGTACAAAGTCTTAAAAACAACTCATAATGCATTAAGTACTACTACTTTATGCATTCAGTCTTAAAATATCTCAATCTACAATTAAAATAACATATAATACA